CTTCTGGATTCCATTTTGCTCTCATCTGATCCATTCTCCATGCTTTGGGCAGAATGGTGTGTTCCCAAAACATGATCTGTTCAGAGTCCTTCTGTGGTTCCTTATTAGTGGTAGGATAAAATTCAGCTCCTTACAGGGCCAGCTAGTCCCTGCTCACCTCTCCAAGTTCATCTCTAGCCACCTCACCCCATCCTACTCCCTCCCCCCAGCTCCGCAACACCCCAGGCACACAGAAATTCTTTCTTTCTTTCTTTCTTTTTTTTGGCAGCACTGGGGTTTGAGTTCAGGGCACTTTACCACTTGAGCCATTCCACCAGTCCAGAAATTTCCTTTTTTCTAAGGGGTCTCTTTCAATCACCCCTATCGTCTCACCCACTCCACTATTCCCTGCCTGGAACACTCAGCCTCCTTCCTTGTCCCATTCCTCACCTACCAACTCTTTCTCATCAGACTAATTCCTAGGTTCCTGCAAGTGACAGCCTCAAAGTCAGATCCATCAGGAAACCTTCTCTATTTGCAAATGCTATCTCCCACCTCTCCACTCCCTCTAGAATATAGGCTCCTTCTCAGTGCTTCCACAACACCCTGAATTTCCTCTTTCATAGCACTTAATATCGTATCTGCTCTTTTGCTTATTCCTCTGCTAGAATGCAGTATGAGCTTTACAAGGGCATGGGCTATATCTATTCTTATTTTTATTTAACTCTTATATAGAGCTTACTCTTTGATGAGCACTTCTAAAAGCTTGTTACAAATATTAATTCATGTAATCCTCATAACAATCCTCGGATACCATAATTATTACCGTTACTTTAAATGGTGAAGCGAGAGCAGAGAAAATATAAGTAACTGGTCCAAGGTCTCATGCTGGTAAGTGGCAAAGGATTTATTTATTTATTTGTATATCTATATATATCTATAGATATAGATATAGATCTATCTATATATATATAAAATGATGCTATGGATGGCTTTGTACATGGTATGCAAGCACTCTACCAATGAGATACATCCCCAGCCAGAATTGGGATTTGAACCCCCAAATCCAAGCTCTTAACCACTAAATTATACTGTATCCCTTGTTTCCCAATGTATCCTTATTGCCTGTCATATGGAAGGCCCATCCAAGAAATATTTGAATGAAATAAAGTAAGAATGGCTAAAGGAATAAAGATTATGGAAATAACACAGTCCTTTTGGGGGTCAGTGGGAGGAAAAGAGGTAGTCACAGAATATGATAGAAGGTTTAGGAGTTGGTGAAGGTGAAAAAAAATAATCCAAAGGGTAGGAAGACCCAAGAAGAAACAGCAGGTGATGAAAGACAAAGTAGGTGGAGGTGGGAGGAGCTCAGGAAGGCAAATGACAAATAGCTCTTCAGTCAGCAAAGGAGAATAGAACAGACCTTTGGACTTGGCCAAGAGAAGGCAAGTGGGGACATCCAAGCAGTTTCCATGGACAGCTGGAGAAAGAAACCGTATTACATGGGTTTGAGGAGGGAGAGCAAGTAGAGAAGCATGCAGAAAGCAAGCTTACTGGAGCCAAAATCCAAAAGTCCTGGCTCCATAGGGACAGGGAGCTGGGCTTACTACCCTGCTCAGAAGTGGGATGGCAGGCAAGGACAAACAAGGCAGGGCTGGGCAGCCCAAAGAAAGGAGTTATAGGATAATACCCAAGCACCTGGGAAGATGATGAAAGAACGAAAACCACAATGTATCCGACAATTTCTTTTAACAACCATTTATTGAGCAGCTACTTTGCACTAGGCACTGGTTACAGGCTCTGGGTAGTCTCTAGAAGTTTACAGTCCAGCAAGAGAGATGAGTCTATCCATGGACCAAATGACCTACAGCACAGTGGAGCTGGTGTTCTGTAGTAGAGAAAGATGTAGAAAAAGTTCTTGAGTTTTAGTGTGATGTGTGCCAAAGAAACACATGTGGAAAAGGCCTAAACACAGTCTAGCATAAAACAGAGTTTACTTTCTCCCAGAAAAGGAAGAAGAGTGGCTTCATATGGAGGAAGCCACTTGAGATTTGGTTTGATCTTAATAAGTACATGAATCCACTAAGCTGTTATTTTTTTGTATTTGTCACTTTTGTATTTTATAATGAGACATGGATATTTTTCAGATTCTGTGTTTACATCATTCCATTTACATTTGAGCTTATGCCAAAAAATAATAAATAACATGCCTTGTTAGTAAAAAAAAAATCTAATACTTTGAAAGGCATTTGCCTGCCTGGGGAGAATATCTTTTCCCCAGAGGTCCACCCTATGGGACCTGCATGTCTTCAACCACCAGAGGATTGTGTACTGGAACTATTTGTGCTTCAGTAATGCTGAAAGATGTTTTTGAAAACTGTTTCCATGGTATTCACCTTGGAGGGACTTTTTCGACTATTTCACATGTAATTTTTTAACATAGTTTCGTTTCTGATTATAAAAGTAGGACACATTGTAGAAAAGTTGGGAGGAAAGTATAGAGGAGATTTTTAGAAGTCATTTTAAAATACAATTGATGAACCGGGGCATACCATGGCTCAGCAGTCCTTTATTCACATGCATATGTGTATATAAGATCATAACAAAATATAAACGATTAATAAGAAATCTTAAGGACTGGAGGTGTGGCTAAAAAGTGGTAGAGCACCTGTTTTGCAAGTGTGGCATCCTGAGTTCAAACCCCAGTCCCACCAAAACAAAACAAAACAAATCTTATAAGTCTTCAACCAAAGGATATCTTAGCAACCAAGCAATACAATGCATTTATTTAGTAGGCTGAAAGTGGTATATTACTCCAAATTGACTTTAGCAAAAACTGTAAGCGATGCAAAGTTTGTGTCTAGGTAACAATCCCCTCCCCACTTGATGTTCAGCACAGTTCTCAGATGGACCCCATGATCTCCACCCGTCCTGGGTAATCTTGTTTCTTCTAAGCCTGGGTGGACCAGTGACTTGCTTGTAGTCAACAGAATATGGCGAAGGCAATGGATGTCACTCTTGCGATTATTTTACATTATATAAGGTTCCACGTTAGCAGACTGGAGTGAGAGCTTTCCTCGCTGGCCCTGAAGAAGCAGTTGTGGTGTGAACTGGCAATGGAGAGGGCCTTGTGGCAGGGGACTGCAACAGCAGGTGGACCGTTGGTGGCCTACAGCCTCCATACATATAGCTACAAGGAAATGAATTCTGCCTACAGTCTGCATGAGCGTCAAAGCTGATTCTTTCTCAGTTGATCCTCCAGGTGAAAATGCAACCTGGTCGATACCTTGATTGCAGATTTATGAGCCTGCCCAGAGAATCCAGCTAAACCCAGACTCCTGACTCACGGAAACCATGAGATAATAAATACAAGTGCTGTTCTAAGCTGCTGCATTTATGGTAATTTGTTATGCAGCAATAGAAAACTAATATACCAGCACCCATGAGTACTAAATTTTCAGCACCCTAAGGTATTGCCATTCTCCAGTAATATTTATATCAGAATGGAAATGGGGGCTTCTAGGGTCTTAATACTATGGTTTTTTTTTTTTTTGGTGGCACTGGGGTTTGAACTTCTAGGGTCTTTTACATCCTATTTCCTCATTAATTTCCTGCGTTTCAACACACTAGCCTGAAATGTATCATGCATAGTACTATTTCTGGCTAAACTTTTGTTCACACCCTTCTTTCCAACCTACATTCCCTCTCTTCCCATTTTGTTCCTCATCCATGAAACCTTCTGACCTTTTAGACTCCTTAGAACTTTTTATTTGCATCACTTGTTTGTCCTTGATTCATAGATTACCATGAGATCTCTTTTGGAATTGTGTTTCTCTGAAAATCTTATTCAATGTGTATATAGAATATATATGCACATACGTAGGATGTCGCTATAGAATATATAAATGTATGTAATCATCTCCCCTCATTGAAAGTACAAACTCCTTGATGCCCAGGATTCTAAGGTGTGTATAGCATATTTCTAGAAATACTCTGTATTACTATTATTATTAGTTTTTGCGGTGCTGGGGATCAAACCCAGGGTCTGGCATATGCATATGCTAGGCAAGCACTCTACCACTGGGCTACATCCCCAACCCAGAAATAGCCTTATTTAAAAACTGTGTCACATGAAGTAGTCAACCAAGCGTGATTAGCCACTTATTTACTTATTAAGCCCTTACAAGGAGCCAGATCTGACGTCTGTCATTGTTACCCTAACCTGAAATTTCCTTTACTGAAAATCTAGTAGAGCTCTATCTACCATAAATATTTCAAAGATTAAATGAGTCTGCCATAGGTGCCTGCCACCTCATGTGTGTTCAATAAATGAGAGTTGAAGCAGACTATAGGTTGGCATACCTCCCATGTACAAAGCCTACACAAACACAACAGAGGTGGAATGATCACATGCTGGCCGATGCTACAAAGAGCTCAATGAAACTGAGGAAGCCTGTGTATACAAAAGGCCAGTTTAGGGTAGCTGTTTCAGTTTCCTTTCTAAGTAGATATATATGGAATACAAGGCCAAAAACCACACAGAAAATACTGATCAGGCAAGGGAGGAAGCTAAAGGAATGCGAGAAGTCTAGCCAGGAAAAAAGTTTGCTGCTTCTGAAATGTTTTGGTTTTAGCCACTGACAGGATTGATGGATTGCAGTTAGCAAAGCGTTTTCTCTGCAGCCTGTCCAAGCATTTACTTCTGTACTTCTGCACAACTGTTGCTCAATTCACTCTTCCCTCTTCCTTTCGAATCTCCATCTTCGAAGCAAGAAAAAAATCCACCCAAACCACCTAAACGAATCGTCCTCATGGCTTCCAAGTCCTTTAAAGGAGAATCTGAGCCTAGGGAGGGTCCTTAACATTTCTCCTAATCCCCTGCCTGGGTTCAAACTTCAACTCAGAGCCTTCGCACAAGTCCCTCCCTTTGCTCTGTCATCTGATGAATATGCAAATGTCACATAACTGGCAGCCAATGGGGTGGGATCTGGTCACATGGTGCCAATGGTAGGTGAGCAGACAGAAGTTGTGTGTCAGTGAACAGAGAGGCTCTCAGTCTGGGGCAAGCGCTCTAGTGAGCGCGGATGGATGCTTAGGCAGTAGTCCTGGCAGCAGCAGAGGCGGCAGTAGTGGTGGCAGAAGAGGGCAAAGGAGAGGGCCCAGAGGGCTGCACACGCTCACACTTTCAAGTTCCCTTGGAAGGAGAGGAGTTGGGGCTGCAGAAAGAAAAGGCCAGGAGCGGTCCCATCTGTCCCGTCCTGTCTCCCCCTCTTCCTCTCTGCCCCCTGGCTCCTTGAGAGTGGAGGGTTCGGGTGGTCGTACGTGGCAGTGAGGGCAAGAGGGCCAGGAGAGTGGGGAGCAGAACCAGGGTGCGGGAGAAGATGCCCATCCTGCTGTTCCTCATAGACACGTCCGCCTCCATGAACCAGCGCACTGACCTGGGCACCTCCTATTTGGACATTGCCAAAGGCGCTGTGGAGTTATTCTTGAAGGTAAAGGGAGGGGAGGAGAGAGATGGGACTCATTCCGAGGGATTGGGAGGTGGGCTTAGGTGCTTCTGTAACGTCTGTATCCCTCCCCCTCTTTCCCTCCGCGACCCCTCCGTCACCCCTCGCCCCGCAGCTGCGCGCCCGGGACCCAGCCAGTCGCGGAGACAGGTACATGCTGGTCACCTACGATGAACCTCCGTACTGCATCAAGGTAAGCCGGCCATCGAGGGAGTGGTGGGCGGGAAGCAGGGGCAAATCCGCGGGCTGCTCGCTCCCCGTTGCCCCCGCCCGCGCCGATCCTGCGTCGCCCAGCGGGACGTGCGGGCAGGGGGTGGGGGGCGCAGAGGGCGGGCGGAGCGGGGCTGTCCGCCGCTTCTGAGGATCTGCGGCGCTCCGAGGTGGGGGAGAGGGGATGGGGGAGGGGAAGCCCCAGGGAGAAACCGCAGGAGGGCCGAGCTCGTGGCGCGACGACTGCGGCCGCCTCCGAAGATGGCGGACATTTTGCTTTTGTATTAGGCAGCAAGAGGGAGACTGAGGGCACTGCTGAGATGGAAAGGAGGGAGGGGAGGGAGGACGAGGAAGGAGGGCCCGCGTCCTGGAGGGAGGCTGCGAGGCTGGCCCGCCCCTTCGGGGCGCACCGCGCGTGGACGCAGCCCCGTGGGTGCGCGGATGGAGCCTCCGAGTTGGCCAGGAGACGCTGCGGTCTGGCGCGCGGGCTTTCCTGGCGCCCAGGCTCCTCCTCTGGCCCCGCCTCCCTCCGCCTCGCCCCGCCTCTTCCCCGGGCTCCTCCCCCTTCCCCTTCTCCCTGGCTTCCTCTAGTCCCCTCCCCTTCCTGCTGAGAGCGTGGCAGCGCCAGCTCCAGCCTGCCAGGGCGCACTGCAGCTTTTGCACTCCTTGGCCTCGGACCCGCCCCGCCCAATCGGAAATGGGTCCGCCGAGGCAGCTCCCAACCCCCAGACCCGTTTTTACTGTGGTCTTGGTCAGGTTGAGCCATGCTCCCAGTTACCTTAGCTACTGTTGCTGTTTCTTTGGAGCCACGACGCGGGGCGCGGGGCGGGGGGGGGGTGATGCCAAAACAGAACCTGTTAAGGAACTTGGATGAAAAGGGGCACAGCTTTTTTAGGGACCTGGACGACCTATTTGTCCAGGGGCAAGCAAGGAAGGAAGGGGAAGACTCGACTGTGAGCACATACATTAGTCAGATTCCATGATTTGATTCCCAGGGTCTGAGGCACAGGAGGAAAGTGGGAAGGGCTTAACCTCTGGGTTAGTTCATGTATGTTCTCACAGTGAGGAGATAAAGAACGCCTTTGCCTTCAGTAACCAGGTAAAACAGAACACAAAACTGCGAAATCAACCTGCATTAGCGTGCTTGCATGTAGAAAAATTTTAGTTATTACCATCCTTGACATCTTTCACTGGACTTTTTTTTCCCCCCGTCGAAATTATCTTAATAGTGCTGGCGAGGTGCTGTCTGCATATGTTGCAATCAGTTTCAGCAGAGAGATGTTTTAATGAAAGGTGCCTACCAAACTGAGTTGGCCAAAGAATTTATTCACACATAAGGAAACCAAAGGGAGACTTTAATTTGGTAATTTGTAGCTTCCGGTAACAATTTAATTAGTAGACTCCTTTTAACATTGTTCTGGTTTTGTTGCTCTGTTTTCAGTTTATTTACCTACTTAGAGAAAAATTAAGCAAATAGACATCTTTCAAAATTCCATAAGCATTTTAGAAAATGCCAGTCTCCTAAGTGTGACCAGTTTTGTACTTAGAAATGGTATTTGGGCTGGGTGTGGTGGGAGCTCGTCTGTAATCCCAGCACTCTGGAGGCTGAGGCAGGAGGATGGCAAATTCAAGGCCAACCTGTGCTACATTGTAAGACCCTGTCTCAAAAAACCAAGTGCTAGGGATGTTGCTGAGAAGTAGAGAGTTCGTGTCATGTGTAAGGCCCTGGGTTCCATTCCCAGCATTCAACACACAGAAAGAGCCAGAGTTTCTGTATCTACACCCTTTGACTACTAATAACCTCAAGGTTCCACCATTTGTGGTGTGGCTATTTGAAGGCATAGGCGTACTCCTTAATTGGAAGTGGTAAAAAGAACAGACTACAAAGCAGTGTGCCTATCTTTGTCATTAAAAGGAAAACTTAGCATTTTTTCAAATGTTGGGACGGTTTTAAAATAGTTCTTGGTCTATAAGAATTTCATGACATTATTTACAGAATCCTTACCCTTGGAGGGGAAAAGGTGCTTTATCCCACTCTAACAACTGTCATAATATGTATTACTTTCGTTTTTGCATTGCTGGGGGATCAACCCAGGCTCTTGAGCATGCTAGGCAAGTGTCCTCCCACTGAGCTCTCTTCCCCCCAGCTCCTCCGTATATTACTTTGTAGTCTGCTTTTTCCTTTTATTTTATCCCGTGAGTTATTTTGGGTTGCCAGAGTCTTCATATTTAAAATTTTTAGTGGCTATGTATGTTACCCATATTTTTTTAGAAGCTCTGGATGGTTCTATAGAACAGAGGGGGAAAAGCTAGATTTTATTTTTAGTGGAAATTTCATGTTAGCTCTTTTAATGTTGCCATTTTACATAATCTACTACATGTTTTCCTAAGGCCAAAAACATTCTTCTGAATTTGATTTTTCTATGTGCGAAGATACTTTGTATAATATGTTTAATTAATCAGTGATTATCTTCATCTTAGTATTTACGCTTTTCCAAAGTTTTTCTCAGGTTCTTCATTTTACTCTTAGGTGCTAACTACATATTCTAGGGAAAGCTTAAACCATCTAATGATATTCTTGTCATTTTGCTCTCTATACCAGAATTACTGATGACATGCCATATTTTAGTAACACTTTCTTTTTCAGAGTCTCTTTTTTGGTCATTCTCTTCTACTTGCCTCTAGCCCTCTGTCAGCATGTGATAACTATTTGTTCTTTTGCTTTTAGGATCTAGCCTGCTTGGAAGGTCAGGAAATTTTAGAGCACCTGGTGGTTTTTTTTTTCTCAATAGCTAGGGGCTGTGAATGTCTGGTTTCTGTCACACTGATTATCAGATAGGCCTGACTTTGTTGTCAACAGGTATCTGAGTTCCTACTTAAAACTTCACTCTTCATTAGCCTGAGGTCCTTTCAGAAAGCCTTGTTGGTAGTTTAGTCTTCTGCAGAATAACGGGAGTGTATTTTTCAATTTCTCTGAGGTTAGAGAAATTTATATTTGGTATTGTAACAGGCATGAGTTGTGCATTTGGTTGGGAGTTTTTTTTTTTCTTAACAGGCATGCAACTATTCTCAGTATATCCGCTTACAAACTCTGACAATAAATCTTGTGAAAAGTTACTATGACTGGAATTTTTCACTAATGTTTACCATCCAATATATAAATATAGTATTTCACCAAAGACTTTATACCTTTTTACTGCATACTTCTTCGCATATAGCTGGGTGCTCTTTTAAAGTTAGTCATACCTTTACTTGCAGTCAGCTTTGCGTGGATGGAATTAAGCTTGATTTGGAGACCCTATAAAAAGCGTATGAAATGCGTGTGCTACATCTGTTTTAAGTATTGCTTTGTAGACAAGTTTTATACACAGTGTTACAGGTATTAACACTACAATTATGCAATTGTCTCTTTAGTATATACAGCTAGGATGAAATCCTGATGAATATTTTATAATTTCTAGGGTACCCTTATAAGGTTAATACAGTACATGGCTTTTAAAAATGTGTGAGGGTTCTTTGCATAATAGTTCTTAATAGTTTTGGCTGAAGTTCTGCTGTCTTGTATGTTTTTGTTATGAATCATAGATTCCCTTTTATCTGGTGACTAGGAAAGGCAGGCCTGTTGAAGGCCATTAGACTGGGATACATACTAGCACAAGTATTCCAAATGATTTCATGTGTGAAGCTCCTTTCTTAAAATTATTTTTGATCTAGGGAACATATTTTTAACATAACACAGTTATTTTTCTAGAAATAGTTGAAGCACATGTATAAACGGTGGTCAGAAGGTTTTTTGATGTCTTTGTAAATAGGAAGAGATAATATCTCAAAGAAATATCCTAAGCCAATAATTTGAAAGCACACAACATTTGAAAAAGTGAAATATTTTCTTGAATGGTGCTTTTTAACATTCAGTAGCTAGCTTTGCTTACTGGTGTTGCTTGCCTTTGTTAATACATGTAAGAAAAAGGTAGATTTTTGGATTACAGACTGAGGAAGTAAGCTCAAGGTTTTAAAATGTTATGTGTTACCTTTATTGGAATTTTAACTAAGGCATCAAAGGAGCAACTTTTAGGGGAGTCTTTCATTGCAGTTAGGAAGCCGTGGAAGCACTTTCAAGTGAAATAGTAGCAACACAGCCCGTGAGAACAGGCTTAGACAACGTGAGATGCTTTTGCAACTCAAAATACTCAAAAACAGTGCATTAACTTTTAAGATGAATTGTTTTTCCTATGATTTTGCTTGCTTTTTCACCTTCCTTACTGACCATTTGCAGATATGACAATTGTTTTGAAATAAGAAAAGGGGAGAATTAATTATAGAAGACTAGATCTTTGGGTCAAGGTGCAAGTATACTCTTCAGACCAGGAACTAGCTGGCAGATCCTGAGGAAACTGATGAAATTATGAAGCCTATCTATTCTGTATTCTGAATCTCTCTTGTATCCATTTATTCTTATTTGCACAATCTTTCAACCTTCATCATTTCTTACCTGAGTCATTGTCGCAGCAGCCACTTAACTGGCAGCCAGACTTGCTCTCCACTGAGTCCCTGTCATTGCTATCAGGTGATAGTCATTAAACACAACGAACTAGCCATGCCTTATGAAAAATGCTTCAGGACTCCCACTGCATTTGAGAATAAAGTCGGAACACCTTGGCCTGATCTTCAAAGGTCCTTCATGGTCTGGACCTGTGTTACCTTTCCAACAATGTCTCTTCACTTCTTATGGGTCCAGGCACCAATCACAAGGAGAAATTATTTCCTCTCCTCCAAACTTCACTACTCCTCTTGCTACGTTGCATTACTTATGCCGTTCCCTCTACCTGGGACATAATAGTTGGCCTGACATACCTCAACTCTTTTTTTTTTTTTTTTGCTTCATTTTGTTTTTGAGGCAGGGTCTTGCTGTGTAGCCCAGGCTAGCCTTGAATGTGAGATATCCTGCCCTGGTCCTCCTGAGTTCTGGGATTACAGTTGTAC